TAATATTTATTAATTAATTGATGTTTTTAATTGTAATTCATAGGAATTGTAAATTATTTTTCCTTCATAATTTATTCTGTGAGTTTTTATATAAGTGTTAAGCTTTCACTAAATGTATTTAAATATTTTTTGTTAATATTTTTGTTCGAAATCGTCTAATGTCCCCGAAAGCACTAAAAAATACTCTGAGGTATAAATTTTTGAAATGTATTTGTTAATTAATCATCTTATTTAACACTTTTTAGCGCTTAAACTGTTTATAATCATCAGCTTAAATGTTCTTAAGCCAGTTTTGCTTTTTTTTATCTTTGACTTACTCGTGTAGTGTTAAATATTTTAAATTATTGAAGCACAAAAATATCGAGAATTGTTTTCTTACGTGCCTTTATAGTATGTATTGCATTACATACTTATATATTAAAAAAATATAAAATAAAAATAAATTTTTTTTTAAAAAATGAATTAATGCCTTAAGTATAATTAAGTGTGATTATATAATTTAGTGTATATCGTTTTTGTAATGAACACTGATAAATAACGAATGAATTTAAAAAATTTATTATTTTTGTTTTTGTATTTGTATTTGTATTTGTTTACAGTTTTGGCTGGTTTGGTATGTAAGTAAGAAAGTAGGTGTGTTTATGTATTTGTGATAGCCTGTGTGGTGTTTTCATTGTAAGTATAGCATAGTAGTAATTTTCCAAAATGTAACCATAAACATTTAATTTGTTAAATTATCTTGACCTCCTTAAATTAAAGCATTTAATTGAATTTAAATACCTTTTAATATCGAAGTGGTATTAAAGTATTTTTTATTATTTCAAGTGTGATTGATATGAGCGATAAGTTCTATACAAAAATATTTATAAATTTTATTTGTAAATAAAATACAAGTGGACACAGATTGTATACTGATACAATATGTATATACATATATGTAAAAATTAAATTCAACTTGATTAGTGTCATTAAATATGTTTTCTAAACCGAACATTAACGTTAATTATAACAATTTACATAAATTAAATTTCAACAAAATTAATATTTAAATGAATAATTAACGATAACATTTAATTTAATTTATGTGAAATAATAATAACAACAAATCTAATAAATGACAAAACACACCGATAAACTCACTCACCACATATGCTTTTACAAAATACCAAAACAGCAAAAATTTAATAAATTCATTACAGTTCATTTTAATACAATAAAAATTAGTCAGTCATTTATATATACACAGGCAAGAAGCAGTCAGCCAGGCAGGCAGGCAGGCCGGCAATCAAGTAGGCAAGGCAAGCAGGCAGGCAAACATGCAAGCAGACAGACACACAATTTTATAGCAGCAATAATAACCAAAAAGCACAAAATATTTTAATAAATTTATTATCACGACATAAGTACCCGTCAGCAGTCGTCAGTCTTTATTGTTGCTGTTGCTGTTGTTGTTCTTATTGTTGTTCTAGCTGCTATTACTCTATTGCTTACTTGCTACTGTTGTTTATTACTGTCAGCTTACTTAGCCTGGCTGATTATTTGGGTTTGTGTGCTTGTGCCAACAGCAACCACACAAAATAATTTTCAAAACAGTAAAACACGAATAAGTCACAAATCCTTAAAATACTTGATAAAATTACATAAAACTAATCATACGAAAAATGATGATGAGGTGGTATCCATCTATCTAAATATCTATCTATCCATCTATCTATCTATTTATCTATATACCGACACAACAATCTGTTCAACAACTTCATGAGCAAATCCAACAAATCGTTTGAATGAATGTTGTACGTACGTGCATGTTTGTGTGTGTATAAGTGTAGGATGGATGGATGGATGCCAGTGGCATTTATACGTTTCGTAAGTGGCTTACAACCGAAGCAAGTAAGCCAAGCAAACCGAATATAAGCACTGTGGGGGGATACTCTGCTGTCGTTTATTGTCGGGGTATCATCATCATCGTCGTTGCCGTCGTCGTCATTGTTGTTGTGTTTTTTTTGGCCTTTTCCTTTGCGGCAGTACCCTCTGCTTCTTCTTTGACTGATGAAATGGAAACGATATGCTATGGTTTCAGAAACAAGATTTATTTCCACAGAGAAAAAAAAAACATGAAATCAAATAAAAAGAGAAAAAGAGGATTTTGTTTTTGCTTCTGCTTGTGCTATTGCTATTGGTACTGCTGCTGCTGCCCATATTGATATTGATGTGATGCTAACTGTTGTGACTCAACAACTGATTGACTTTATACTGTATTTAGTTGTTGGTACTTATTGTTGTAATTTGAAGTTTATTTTGTACGGTATTTTACTTTGCTGATGGAGCAAAAGAGCAAGAGTGTAGCATTAAAAAAAAAAGTTGTGCAATTTTGTTTGTTTTTATAGAAATTTCCTTTTTTCGGGGTATTCGGTTTTATTTACTTTTTTGTACTAGTGCTCATATCCAATTTTCTGCATTTTACAGTTTACAAAATTAAGTTCGTTCTACTTCATTTGTAGATAATTGTTTTTGTTTTTTTTATAGTGATAGTAAACTAATGACAAATAAAAATTCGATAAAATTAAATTTAAAAAAAAATAACTTCAAGTTTCGTTATTAATTCAAAATTTTTAATTTTAATTTAAAATTTGTGGGTTTTATTGTAATATTGTGGGATAGATGAATTACAGATAAAATTTAGACAAAAAAAAATAAAAGTAAATTAAAATTATTTTTTTTAATTTAAAGTTTTTGTTTTTTGATTGTGATATTATGAGGTGCACTTATGACAAAAACAAAGTAAATTAAAAGTAAATTCCTATTTTCTTTAAATTTTAAATTTAAATTTTTTTTTTTAACTATGGTATATGGTAAAGTACAACAGCTGCTAGCCCGCTTGCCCTTTATCGTTTCATCATGTCACGCTATGCATGCATTGCCTTGGTGTGCCTATGCTTGTCTGTCATCCTGCTGCTGCTGCCTGCACGATCTGCCTACGTGTATGCATTCAGCAGCGTATATGGAAATGTACATTAAAACTGAACGAACAAACGAACGAACCAACAACGAACATAAAAATGTTTATTTTTGCTTTTCATTATTTTCATATCTACAGAAATTTACTGTTTATTATTATTACATTTTCCACATCTCTCATCATAATTTATTTATCTTTGCTAATGCTTTACAAATTACTTGTTAATTTGTATAATAACAATAATCGAATGCTTCGTTGAAAGCATTATTACCGTTAAATATAAATTTCATGTACACAAAAACCGCGCAAAGCACTGTGTGAGTTAAAAGCCGAGTAAAGCCGAACACCCGAATATTATACCATACCACGCTGTTGTCGTTGTTGTTGTTGTTGGTGTTGATGTCGTAGTCGTCAGCTACCCAACAGGCAAGCTCTACATCGGATTTTTCTATATACAGTCAAACACAATTCACACAATACTTCCCGTGCACTTCCTATCTATCAAATTGTTTAGCACAGCTTGCGGTCGGTCGTATGTCGGGTTAATGATGGCTTTAGTAGTGCTGCTGCTACTGTTGTTCATATTTTGGGGGGCGGATTGTAGGTGAGTTTATGCCAACATATTTTGTTGTTATACGTGTCCGTCGTTGTTCGTTATTCGCTGTGTACAAAAATAATGGTTTTGAGTTGTGAGATGTCGGCAGAAACCGTGATACTGCTAATACTACCATCAACATCATCGAGAACAACAACAACAAAAACAGCAACAACAATAACGAGAACAATATTAGCAAAAGCAGTGGTAATAATAATTTTTGGTGGTGGGAAATTTTACAGTATGCCTGCCCAAGTTGGTTGGTAGTCACTGCCGCCACGTCGTTTGTCGTTTCACGTTTCGTCGTCGTTGTTTTCGTTGTTGTCGTTGTATAAAACGAAAGCAAAAAGTATGTGGTAATCATTTTTCTCTCTACACTCGCCCACTTAAATTTATGCAGTGCGAAGTGTGTGCAAATCAGTTTATAAAATCATTGTTCGCAAGCAAGTACAAATTTTTTAACACATGAACACACAACGAGTAGATGACATTTTCAAATAAGTGTTGGTTTGGTATATAGTTGTATATGTGTGTTTGCGTGTGTATATATATAATTAATTACATTTAATTGGCGTTAATTTATACATTTTCTTGGACCTTTTTTTCCTTTTGCTCTTCTCATTTTAATATTGTAAATTGACTTAAAACTCTGTCAGAGTTGCAACTACATTCCCGCAAAGTTAATACATTTTTTGTACTCTTTCATTTCATTTTATTGATTTATTGAAATTGATTTATTGCAAAATCATCGCACACAATTCAGAAACAATCCACTTAAGTGGAAAATCTGTTTACATCTGCTTAAAAGGGTGCAAGGGATAGAAAAATGAGAGAGCACACACATACACACAATACACGCACACAAAGAATGACATACATAAAATCGTATCGTATCCTATCGTATCGTATCGTTGACAGAATAAAGTGTACAAATTGCAAAGCGCAAGAGTGAGACAGCAAAAAGGAAACGCGCTTTACAATGCCTTTGGGGGATTTAAGGATTTTTCTACTTAATATTGTTTTGTTATTGTAGTTGTGCTCTGTTTGCTGCTGTATTCTTACCCTACTCATATTGCATTATACGTGGCTACGACGACGTATATGAATTTATTTTATACTTACTTTCTTATCGATATGATTTCATGTCAATTGTTCTGTTCGCTAAATGATATACAAAAATCTCTATTGAGATGTATGTAAATGTATGTGTATACATATATCCTTAAGTGTTTATTTTATTGTATGTGCTTGTGAAAGTAGCGTAAAGCACTTCCCAAATTACAGGATTATTAGTTAAGCCATTTTACTTTATTACACAAAATAAGTATGTAATTAAAATTAATTGTGTTTAACACATTTATTACGTATTTTCACTCTTTTTTTATTTTTGATTTTCACTCTTTGATTTTATTATACAAACGGAATTTTCTTTTTATTTTTGTTTAGGTTACATTTCTACAATAAAGGGCCATAAACAGCTTAACACTGGACCGGAAGTGTGTTTTTAAAGGGTAATGGCGGCCTCCACTCAAGGAGAAATTCGAGTGGGTCCCGGCCACCAGGTAAACGATGTCTATGTACGTACATAATTCACAAAATCTCACGGTAACAAAATCTATTTTTTTAAAATTCAAAATTTTTTATAAAAGTAACCCAACCCCCCTATTTTCTAATATTTCTTTGATAATAATTTATTGCTGTCTAACAATTAATATTTGTTAATGGCTTTGTTTTATTTATGTTTATGTTTATAATTACGTTTTATTAAGAATTTAAAATGACTTAACTCTTTTTTAATTATAAAATAATGACACCATCTGTCTACTCAATTTATATACTTCAGATAATTTATCCTATTGTTGTTGTTGTAGCCCACAGAGATCAGTCTGTGCAGTTCCTTTTCAAAGTGCTGAACGTTCAGTTAAAAGTTTAACTCGACAGGTGGCTACGGAACCGACTTTAAAATAATTTCGACGTAACAACACAAAAATTAAAAACAAAAAAAAAAAATTAAACTTGGTCTTTAAACTCAATGAGGAGCCCTTGGGGTGTACCCTAACTGCAGCTCTACCACACATGATGTCACCCATCTGTTTCCTACCCCAACGCAAGCATAAATTTGTTTCCAATTAATCTTTGGATCCGCCCTATAGAAGTGGCTAGGTTTCTCTACCTTGTTTCTGGTTGACTTCAATATGAATCTCACCCCAGTTCATTCTTACTCATAAATCAATCCCCACCTCTCTTACACTAACAATATCTATTCACATCTTAATCCATGTATTACTCTTTATGTTATCTGTTTTACAGATCCTTACAGATTACAAGAACAACAAGTGATTTCGCGATGTAGACTCGGTCGTTCATGGGAATTTTTTCCTATTATAGTTGTGTGTATTGTATGGATAGTAATGATTATTTGTTTTTTATAAACGATTTAATTCCAAGTATCTTATTTTCTTAAATTAATAACTATATAGTGCTACTATAAAACAGGATAAGTATATTCTATATACTTTATGTGTATATATTACACATTAGATAATGTAGATTATGAAGTACGGATGATTGATTAGTTGCAGTGTCAGGTCAGCAGATAACTTTCTGTTGATCTCAATTAGTAGTTTTTCGGCGTTTAGCTATCACATTCCTCGCAAGAAACTCTAAGATATAAAAACCTACGACAAAACCTAAATTCAATGCTTCCTACCAGTACCCTTAAATAGTGATTATCCCTCGCAAAAAAACATAAAAAGATAAAATAATTATCATCCCATTGAGTTTAGTACATTTAATATATATTTCGTCTTTATCGATGAACAGTCTGAAAACCTGGCAAAAAAATTAATACTCTAAAAATCTAAGAAAATGTTTGTTTTATGTGTTAAAGTTTCAAAGAGAATTGCAGTAAGCCTTGCAGTATTTATGCAGTCGAACTCGTGTAATTTAAAACGTATTGAAAATGTCACAAAAAACAAAACTAAATAAAATACCCATAAATAAGCAGAAAGAAATTCAAAGTGCTGTTTTACAGCATTAAAAAAGTTTAAAAAACTGTTTTCAATTAATTTTTGTAAGAAAAGTCTAAACATTTGCAATATTAAAATATAATTATAAATATGACATGTTATGTAATAAGTGCTACTCTACAGCATTAAAAAAGTTTAAAAAACTGTTTTCAATTAATTTTTGTAAGAAATGTCTAAACATTTTCAATATTAAAATATAATTATAAATATGAAATGTTATATAATAAAGAACAAAAAATACCTATTGCTTACTGGTTAGGCAATTTTGTATTCAAAAAAACTTTTTTTTCTTCATAACTACGCAAATGGTAAGAACGAATTGATTATAAACTAATTAGTAATACTTTACTGAACAACAAGTAAAATATGGAATAAAATAGCATATATTTATTATTTCAAATCAGGATTAAATGCAATAAGCATATTACTTATGGGTTTAAATTTATGTTCAGCTTTACTTTTAATTACGATAAGTGATATTTACAAAACTTCTCGTGCCTTCCTCCAATGTTATTTGTTGTGTCACAAAGCAATTGTTGCTTTGATTGTAGCATAATGTATTTATTGTTATTATGAATAATAAAAGAGTTAAGTTAATTTTGAATGTTCAATAATAATTGAAAAATTATACAGTAATATTCTTGTAAATACCATAATTGGCTGAAAAATTGACATTTAGAATCAATAAAATCAAATTTCTTTACTTTATAGCAATTTTAAAATTGTATGTAAACAATCGAATTGCATTTTGTGAAGAAAGTTTTATCACTAATTTGATAAATATTTTTCCCACACATCAACATCATCATTTCATATATAGCTGTAAATATTTTGTATGTAAATATGAAAAGTAAAGTTCTAAGTACGTAAATGGTGTTTTATTTGTTGTAATTTATCAACTTCTGTTTAAAATATTAACACGTACTAATTTGATTGCTTTTTCCTTGACAACAAAGGCAAAACTGCCCGATTATAATCCAATTTCAAGCTTTCCCGTTGATAAAGAAACAGACGAACGCGAACTAGAAGAATCAAGATGGAGTCCTGGTGTTGTGACAGATGGGGATTTGTTAATGTTTCTGCGTGCTGCACGCTCTATGGCAGCATTTCAAGGTATCGTATAAAGTTAATTCAAACAGTTTAATAATATTAACTATATATTTATATATGTTTTAGGTATGTGTGATGGAGGTGTAGAAGATGGTTGTTTAGCTGCTAGTCGCGACGACACTACAATTAATGCACTCGATATTGTATGTATTATTATCAATTGTTTTTATATAAAAGAAGTATTTTGATTTTTTATACTATGTAATTGGTTACAGTTACACGATTCTGGTTACGATCCAGGTAAAGCACTTCAGGCACTTGTAAAGTGCCCAGTTTCCAAAGGTATTGACAAGAAATGGACTGAAGACGAAACTAAAAAGTTCATTAAGGGTCTTAGGCAATTTGGTAAAAATTTTTTTAGAATTCACAAAGATTTACTACCGCACAAAGAAACTCCAGAATTGGTGGAGTTTTATTATTTGTGGAAGAAAACACCTGGCGCTAACAATAATCGCCCACACCGCCGACGTAGGCAAAGTACTCTGCGTCGCAATCGTGTTACACGCGCCAGTAATACACCTCCTAAGAAGGAGGATACCCAGGAATCACAAACGACGACGACGGCGGCGACTGCGACAGAAACAAGTCGCTCTTCGCCCGTTGTCTCCAAGGAGGAGAACAGTTCTCTAACCGAGGACGACGTAAGCGAGTGCGACAGTGATTCCAGTCTAACAAACAAAAGGGATGAATCACCGTCTAGAATGAGGACGAGAAATAAACAACAAAATAATGCAAAGGAACAGTCACAAGTTGCTAATGGGAAACGTCCAAAGCGAGGTACAGAAACACCAGATAACGTTGTTGCAGCAGATAGTCCTAAGACACCATCAAAAGGTACAGATCATACTAATAACAAAAGAAAAGCTGGTAAACAAGATACGCCAAATAAAAAGAAAAGAACAGATATTGATGGAACATTACCTGCAGGGGGTGATACTGATGATGGTAGCAATAAAGATAAGCGTAAACGTCCTGATAGTCCAGTGGAGAGTATGAATTCAGACAGTAGACCGGATTCTGTATTAGATGATGCAGAATCTAATACCAACGATACTGCTGAACAACAATCAAAGGATAGCAAAGAAAACTCTAGTAAGGAAGAAGGACAGCTTGAAACTGATAGCAAGCTAGAAGTTAATGAAAAATCAGAAAAAGTTTCATGTGTTGAAAATACTAAGGATATAATTAAAAATGATGACGAAGAAACGAATATTCAGGCGCCTACATCAATTCAACCAAGCACATTGATCGAAAACGTTCCTAAAGAAACAGCTGTAAATTGTCCTGAAGAAATACCGACTGTACCACAAATACCATTGAAAGTGCCAACTATAGCTACCGTAGAAGCACTTAATGCATCAGTGGTTCGTGCCGAAGCAGAACGTAAAGAATCCGAAAAAATTGAAGCTGTTGAAGCAGAGGTTCCTAAAGAACAGGAAATTCTTAAGAAAATTGCTAATATGAAGCAGGAACTATCGCAAGTATCAGGCGCACATAATACGATACAAGATACCGTATTTATAAAAAAAGAACCATTGGATGATTCTATGGATGCAACTTGTAATCAAAATAGTAATGAGCCACAAGATCTTAAAGTTAAAGTAGAAGTCAAAAATGAAGAGTCAAAATCTATAATTCTACCACCTGTACAAGGTCAATCATCATTGCAGCAAATTGGCGATTCGGCTGGATCAGAAGCGCCTCTTATGAATTTGCATCAACCACCTCCTGGTTATATTGTAGATGGTCAAATTAAATATGGTCCACCACCAACTATTCCAAATGATTCTAATGGGCCTCCAACAAATGTTAATCAAATGGTTCAGCATAAATATCCTGGTGATATAGACGTTAAATATAATGACAACATTAAATACGAAGGTAGTAAATTTATGCAACAAGAAATATCCTCTAAATATCCTCCACCGCCTCTTGATCCCATTAAATACAATCAAGAAATGCATGCTGCGGCTGCTGCAGCAGCTGCTGGTAAATATGATATGAAGTTTGTGATAGAACAGCAAAACAAATTTTCGGCAGAGCTTCCTACACATCATCAAATGAAATCATATAATGATTCCATAAAAATTCCTGATGTAAAACAAGGTTATCAATTACCCAACCCTGAAGGAAAATATCAGCCAACGAGTGCACAACATTTAGATAGTCCAATAAAATATGGTGCTCAACACTCTGATCAACAACCTCAACATAATCAGGGTACTCAGTCTGGACAAACACCACCACCCGTCATATCTATGCCAAAACCGCATTATCAACATGAGGTTCAGCATCCTTTGTCTCGCCCGCCATTTGAACCTGGGCTCATGTTAAAATATGGTGATCCGATGACTGCAAAATATGGTCCACCGCAACCACAAGATTTAAAATATCCTCCACCTCCTAATGGACCTGTGGAAAGTGGATCAATTAAACCATCACCTTATGGAGAAAATCTTATTAAAGGATCACCGTACACAACTCAAGAAACTGGTCTTAAGTATCCCCCTTCAGAAAGTCCAATTGATGCTTCAGCACGGTCTACACCAGGACAAGATAGTCAAAGTAGTAATAGCAGCTCCCAGCCTTCATTACAGCAACAGTTTCAGTCACCACATCCTTCGCCGCATTTACCCTCTCCGGCTGGAGGAGGTTTACCACCAGGAATGCATCCTCAAAACCTTGTTGCTTCCCATGGTGGAATTACTACCGGTATTCCACCCGGTGCATCTATACCTCCCAATTCATTGCATCATCATCCTACTCCACCACCAAGTAATAATCAATTATCAAATAGCGGATCTGCTGGACCGCATTCACAATCATCTGCGGTTACACCCATGCCTGGAAACGTTGGAGCACCACCACCGCTTTCAACAATGGCTCCGTCGGGATTGCATCCGCAGCATATGCCACCAGGTCACTTACAACAAATACATCGTCCCCATTCTGATTTACCACCATCAATGCATCCTCATGCACCAGTTCCACTCTCACTACAAGGTCACGATCCACGTGGTGCGCCACTACCACCAACACACTCTCTTCCTCCACAACAACAAGCACCAAATGCAACAGTTCGCACACCGTCACCAGCACAACAGCCAACTAGAAGCCTGCACGAAGATCGCGTTATTGGTGTCCCGCCTCCGTCACAACAACGTGAGCCACCAACATCACAATCATCTGGACCACCGCAGCAATCTCCTCATACGCATCGCACTTCTCCATTGCCTGGACTTGCTGGCAATGCACCACCTGGTTTAATTGGACATCCACTACCTATTCATCCTCATTTGAGCCACTTGCCGCCAGGTCATCCTGCTCACGCAGCAGTTGGTCATCCTGGTCATCATATGCTGTCTCATTCTATTGCAGGATTAAGTCCAGCTAATGGTCCAATTGCTTTACTTGCAGGACCTCCATCCCTTGGTGGGTTACCAGAGTCTGCGCTTAGTCGTCGTACTCCCCCAAATCATATACCACCACCATCTTCTGCACCAGCTCCTCCTCCGCCACATTCTTCAACAATCGCTGCATCAACACCAAATTCAGGAACGTCAACAAATACGGTGCCATCGTCTGCTTTTAGTCGCGCTAGTCCAAGTGTTCAGAACTCTTCTTCTTCGTCGATTGGTGGTCCTAGCGGGCCAGGCGGAAGTAGTACACCAAGCGGACTCAATACTTCATCAAGTGCTCATCGTTCAGCATCACCCGCTTCTAGTGTTAGCAGCTTAAGCCGACAAAGTCCACTACATCCAGTGCCACAAAGTCCACTTAGTCATCATCCATCATCATCAGCATTGTCAGCAGCAGCAGCTGCAGTTGCTGAGCGCGATAGACATGCTTTGTTGAGACAGCAATCCCCTCATATGACACCGCCACCAGTTTCAAGCGCTTCCGCTTTAATGGTTAGTCCTCTTAGCAAAATGTATGGTCAACCAGTTCAACGCGGGCTCGGAACATCGCCACCACCACATTTGCGTCCTGGAGCCTCACCACCAGTTATACGTCATCCACAGATGCCATTACCTTTGCCTCTATTAGCGCCAGGAGCAGGAATACCGCAAATGGGTGTACATCCTGGACAGTCACCATACTCACATCCATTATTACATCCATCTATGTTTTATCCTCATCATCACAATCCATTTAATTCGCCTTACGGGTATGGACCTTATGGACCAGGGTTCCCAGCTGCTTATATGAAACCACCACCACCAGCTGGACCACTTGACCCTGCTGCTGTTATGGGTGCGCATCATCCAGGTTTACCAGGTCCGCCTCCAACTAGACCTGATGATCCCAATGCAGTTGCTGCAGCAGCAGCTGCGGCGGCAGCTGCAGCTGAAAAACATCAACAGCAAGCAGTAGCTGCAGCACAACTTAAGCAACAACAACAACAGCAGCATCAGCAGCATCAGCAACAACAACAACAGCAGCAGCAGCAGCAGCAACAACAGCAACAGAAACCACCAACACCAAAGACACCGCAAGGTAGTAACAGTGGTGGACTACCAGGCAGTAATCAAAATACACCAACAGGTTTGCCACCTGCTGGTTATCCGGGCTCGCATATGTCAGGGTATCCGCCACCATCGCATTCCTCACCCTTCGGAGAGGGTCATGTTCTCAAACCGACTTCTCATATGGAAGCATTACGTGCACATGCTCATTCTGCGACTTTAAATGCATCACATCATTCTACAGAGCCATGTAAATTATACAAAGTTCTTTGTTACATATGAAATACTATAAAGATTTTTTTAATTTTAGTGCCGATTGATATTGAACCAGATCCAGAGCCAGAAATACCAAGTCCAACGCATAATATACCAAGAGGACCTAGTCCAGAAGCAAAACCTGATGACACAGAATGTCACCGTTCACAATCCGCTATGTAAGTTCTTAAAAATTTAGCTTCATTTTCGCATGTAAAAAAAAATAAAATTATTGAAATGAAACATTGTTTTTTTTTTTAACAGATTTGTGCGACATATAGATCGTGGAGATTATAATTCATGTACAAGAACTGATTTGATTTTCAAACCTGTGGCAGATTCCAAATTGGCACGGAAACGTGAGGAACGTGATAGAAAGTTAGCTGAAAAGGAACGTGAACGACGACAGGTAAACTATTCTTTTTTGTACGTGGGAATTTATCTTTCATTAAAAACCGTTTAGCAACAACAACAACAGCAACAGCAGCAACAACAACAAGCTGCAGCTGCACAACAAGCTGCCCAGCAGGCAAAATTAAAGGCGGAACTCAAGCCGCCATATGCGGACACACCTGCTTTACGGCAATTATCTGAGTATGCTAGGCCACATGTTGCTTTTAGGTAAATACAATTTTTTTTAATATTTAAATATTGTAGCAGTACAAAAAGAAAAACTGAGTTCAATTGGAATCAGTTTCGATGCGTTTTATTTATTTTTTACTATTTGGCGAATTAGTTCTGGCAAATTTCTTAAGTTTTTAAAAAATTGTTAGTAAAAAAATAATTGAATTTAATACAATTTTATTTTTATTATATCTTAAATGAAATAATGTTTCAGCTTTATTTATAATGCAACAGTTATATGAAATAATTTAAAAATATTATATTTTTAATTATTTTAGCCCTGTTGAACAGATGGTACCCTATCATCACCCAATGGGGCCGATGTATAGTAGAGAGAGGTACATTTTTACATTTTTTGTTTTAACCATAAAAAAAATTAACCAATCTCATCAATTTAACAAATTTTCAACTCGCTGCCAAACACATTTGCTTCATATATAATCATTAACCAATTTTTTTTATCATTTTTATTTTATAATATGTTCAGAATTAAAACTACATTAGATAAGATTCATGAAAATTTAAAATCATACATTTTATATAAAATAATTTTAATTTAGATAAAATATTATACTTATTGAGAATTATTAAATATAATGTGTAGGTGTAAGTAGGTATATAATTATAGGGTTATTTTTCTGACTAGTTTCTCGTTTTAATTTTCTATCGGTTTGATTACAAAAGTATATAAAGTTTTTAACGCGTTAAAAATATCAATATGTTTTCCTTTTTAAGTTCAGTATCGAGCGAATATGTTTTTGTTATCCGTGCATTGCTAGTGGCGATGTACTGAGGGCATGGGTTTATAACCCTTAAGGTGGATATGGGCCCATGAGGGTGACGGAACAAATGAATTGTTTTATTCTGACCAACCATCACTGATGTCTGGGCATTGCTAGTGGCGATGTACTGAGGGCATGGGTTTATGGGGCCATGAGGGTGACGGAACTATAGTCTGACAATTGAGCGACTAGAGATCTGGACGCCAACATAAATGAAAAACATGAATTAAGAAATTCTTTTGAAAAAGAAAGTAACAAATTTAATCTAAAAAATTAAATTTTTATTTTACAAATAAAAATTATTTTTAAACTTAAGCTTTTTTCGGTTCGTTATCAGTTATCGCTCTGGCAAAGGTATCAATTTTTCGGTTTTCAGTTTATTTCCAGTTCGAAGTCCTGTGTAATTATTTAAGTTAATATACGCTTAGCAATTTCTGACTTACAACTTTCTTTATTTGTAGAATAGATAACTATACTGTTATATAAAAGGCTTAGATGAAGAAAAAAATATATATTTGTTTATTTTATGTACTGAATATTATACATAATTAAAATATTCGAATTTGGCAGGGTACTTGCAGTACTGAACAGGGTATAACAAATGTTGACCAGCTTTCCAGATTTTGTTCAGAGTCTCAAACTGCACTGAATTATTTTTTAAGAAGTTCCGGCAGTAGGACCAGACTGTTATTATTGGGTCATATTGTTCCGCTACTACTGTATGGTGTGGTAGCTCGCACAAATTAATATTTAATTAGGTTTTATAAAATTAAACTATGAAAAAAACTAAAATATACTATATATTTTATATATATATTTATATATGTATAAAATAAATAACTGTTGACAAACACATCTATATAACACAATTATACAAAATAAAATCAAAATAATATATAAAAAATCAAACCAAATTAAACAAAAAAAAATATATTTATAAAAAAAACCCATAAAAAGTAAAACAAATTGAATTGACAAATTGAGTCAAACAAATTAGTTAATTTAAAGTTTGATTTGATTTGATACAAAAATTTAATCTGTTTAAGTAATTAAATTTTTTTAAATTTGATTTTCGATCAGCTAAAAAATTAATTTATTTGAAAGTAATATTTATGTTATTCTATATTTATTTATATCTTTTCTATTTCTATTTTTTATTTATATCTTTTCTATTATTCCCTTTCTATTTACCTCACTTCTGTTTAAAATAAGTTTGTCATAAATTAGATTTTTAATTTAAATTTTTGAAGTATTATTATTATTTAATTATTAAAAAAAATTAAATTTATTGAAAATATAAAATTTTTACTGTTGTATTTTATTTTTATTTACGCCTTTTATCCTTATTCTTTTTCCAATACCTCTTTTTTTTAATTTAAAATGTTGTTTTCGTCATAAATTTCATTAAATTTAATTTTAAGACATTTTTCTATTAGATAATTTAAGTATTAAATATTTAATTTTAAATTAGAATACTATATAAAATTAATCTGAACATATACAAACTCATTATTTTTTTTATATTTTTATTATATTTTAAATATTATTTGCTTTCGCCTGATGTGCATGCATATTTATATTTCAATTTTAACACATAAAATCATATAATTAACTCCAAATACATACTACATTAAATCACATGGATTATTATTAATTTATTTTGATATTTACAGAGAGCTTGAAGAAATCAAAAATGCACAAGTAGCGGCAGCTGCAGGACAACCACGTTTAGATCCCCACTGGATGGAATATTACCGACGGTATTATTAAAATAAATAATTTATAATAATAAAATAATAATTTTTTTTCAATTTCAGTGGCATGCATCCTTCGCAATTCCCATTGTACGCTAATCCTGCTGCAATTTCCCAAATGGAACGGGAGCGGTTGGGTATACCACCACCGCATCATGTTGGCATTGATCCTGGCGAACATATGGTAAGATTATCACACTAAATGTCAATTAATTAAGTTATAAACGAAAGCATTCACAAATAAATAATTATCCCATCAATCGTATTATTCAATCGTATTTGGAAATATTCAAAATTGCGAATTAACCACAAGTATGTGTGTACTTTGTATGTATGTCTGTGAAATATTTTCATTTGCATAACTTGCATATCTGCATATTACATTACTCTGCATTTATATCGCACTTGTATGTCATCAATTCACATTAAATATAATTAAATAAATACTAATTAACATTATAATTAATTGTAAATAAATATTTTAACATGCAAATCAATTGAGATACAATATAAACATGTGTGTTTTATTAACTAAAATCGCTCAAAAGCTTTTTACATACAAACTCATGAATAAGTATGTTTCATTTTGTTTATTTTTCATTATGTTTTGACCCTTAACTGCATCAATACGTGCCCGCTCGCGTTATGCTATATACATATTTTTAAAAATAAAATGCTTACCTACTATAAACATATAATTTATTTTCTATATTGCTAAATTACAAACATTGAACAAAAAATTACAACAAAACCAAAAAAAAAAGAAAAAAAATCAACAAAAAACATAACATAATAAAAACCACACATCAATTTGGCTTGGTACTACGTGTATTATACAATACAATTAATTGAAAAGTAATTGATATTCCTTGTTTATTAGTAATATTAAAAATAATATTAAACAATAATAAAAGCTGTGTTTTATTGTCAAAGCATTAATTACACACATTAAACAAAAAAATCAATTCGCCACGTTTTTGAAATCTAAAATTTCAGATACGATTGACGAGAGAATTTCATGCACACTCTCATACTCATTTACATTTGCCTTTGCCTTCACAGCCGCAGCCACCAGAGGCCGGATTTCAACTGCCACGTGAGTTTGTATTCAATTGTTAATTTGCGAAAATTTATTATTAAATAATTTTCGCGAAACTGTATCTGCATCTTTTAATAATCAAAAAAACCATATTTTCCTGTTTTTTTTTTATTTTGAATAAAATTTATAGCGAATGTTGGGCAATATCCACGTCCAAATATGCTTATGGCTAGAGAACCACATCAAGATGTTTTGCTGCGTATGTCTTATGCTGATCAATTACAGGTTTCCCATTTCTTATACTAATATTTTACCTCATTAATTACATATGTACAGTATTTACAGGCTGCTGAATTTCAACGACAGAGCCTACATGATCAATATTTTAGGTAAGTTAACGACTAATAAAAATAATTCTCTCTATGAAATTTTATTAAATCAATCGCTTAATTGTTAAGATTTTTGCTCTAATAATTCTACAACAATAACAACAACAACAACAACTACAACTGCAGCAACAACACAACTCCTAGTTTTGTATCGCAAATGCGTATTACTTTGCTTGTGTGCTTGTGTGTGCGAGTAACGGTTAAGTTTGTCGTTGGTAGTGTACATGTTTTTAAAAAAATATATCATATAAATATGGAAAATGGACTTGTAACGTTACTTTATGTTTATAATCAAAATATATCTATATTTTTTAATATATAATACACTTATATCCATTACTAAAGTTTGTTTTAAAAATTATATATAAGAAGTTGTATTTAAAAGCAGTAATAATTAGTTTTTTAAACCATTATAAATTCTGTGACTATTAAAGCTTTTCGCCTACAGCAAAACAAAAAAAACCATTTGGAATTCATTAATAGCACGATATTTTTTTGTGAGATACTAAAAACCATCCCTAAAATCATTTATTAAAGTTTTCATCAAACCATCAACTGATGATGGGTATTTGGCAATACTCGAAACAGCCAAAAATACAATTAATTAAAATAATATAAAATGAATTTCTGTTGTTGTAGTTCACTACTGTTTGAAAAACCTCTTTATTAAATCAATTTGTAAATTGAATTAGGACGCAAATCGTATTATCTTTACATAAATATGTACACCTAAATATCGCCACAGTTAGTAGAACCCTTACCTTGTTGTCTACGACGATTTTCGTATCATAAACATATTGCCACTTACTACAACGTAGATTATATCAATTCTGTGAATTATCGGCAAAGATTTTCTGGCCGCCATGTTCGAGATCATAGATGCAAATATTCATCGTGTTTCACATTTGTCATTTGTCAATATGATCTTTAGAATCCCTTTTCTATGCAATTATTCGTATATATCTTCTTTTTTTTTTTTATTTATTGTAAATACGCCATTATATAATGCAACGGAACTAAAATTACTGAAGTTGAATTTTTAAAATTATCACTTACTTTATTTATCAAAATTGATTGAACAATGTGATTTTAGGTATAATATTATTTTATATTTTTCCTTGGACAAATTTAGTCGTTGAGTGCAACTTATCTAGTCGACATAACGAATAAAATTATAATATAATTAATTTTAAAATTTAGTCGTTGATTATTAAATAAATTAGTAGTGAATGTAGTTGTAACAGCTAGTCACCCAGCAGGGATCCCCTTGTACGCTTTGAAAAGACAAGTAAGTTCTGAATGTAGATTCGATTTCTTCTGCGAAAGATTCAAACTTCTAAATTAATGGATTTTTTATAATCTGAACTCGAACTTAATTCGCACGCCTTGTTATTTAATGAGCCTCTTGATTGAATTAGCTGCAGTTCTTTTCACCAGAACATAAGATCCATTCTCCTCTACATAACGTCTTTTTTCTTAACATTCACAGTACCGTTCCTTTCATTTAAGCAAGCCTTAAATTTGGGTGCAGTCAATGCTGCATAAACTTTAACATTAGAATATTTTAATTTCTGAAGAAATTGCAAACTTTTTTATGGACTACTAGCAGAAACGTCTACTCTCATACTTGTGACAAGAGTTCTTTTATATAACTTTTTTTAAACAAACTTTAGTCGCACCATAATACAGTTCCTTTTAACAATTCATCAAGTTTTCATAGATTTTCTGCCACATTCAAAATTTCTCTACACTTTCTATTGGCACTCATATTACACGTTACAATTCTACAAACCTACAACCTATAAAAGAAAAATATGTTTTTCCTTTTTATGTATTTTATTATTTATTATTAATTATTCTGGCATTGCATAAATCCTACACATTCCTTATTATTTTCATTTGTGTATTCAACAGACAAAGGCCCAGGTAAATGGACCAAAATTCATTAAAAGGATCGTAAGCTGTGGAAAACAAAAAATAAAGAAAAGAAATAATAATTTTAGTTGTTGTTGCGTTTCAACTGAGTTAAAAGCACACATCCAATCTAAATCATTCATTGTGTTTAATATAATTCGCAAAATATTTTTGCAATTTATGCAATATTTTAAAAATAATAAAAAAAGTTAGTATTTTAAAAATGTATATATATATTTAAAAATTAATTTACAATTAAATTGAACAAAGCAAATTGATTTATTTTAACAAAAAACAAAAACAGCAATTAAATTTTTATCTAAAAAGAAACTGTTCAATTCAATCATAAATTTTTATTTTTATAATTCAATTTTTAATATTAATTTTTTAATTTATTTTTCTTATTTTCAACAGAAATCAATTGCGTTAAATTATTTCGCATTATTTGGAGTTTTCATTATAATCTGTAGAGCTTTCTTCAAACATCGCTTTTCGGTAGTTTTTCGACATAGCTTATGGAATATAAAATTAATTTTACTTAAAATTTTATTACAAAGAAAAACCAACAACCAACAAAAGTACTGTATTACGGAAACTTACAATTATATGTATGTATTAAATAAAAAAAACAACTGTAAATTATATTTTCAGGCTAAATTTCAATTTAACTAACAATTTAACTTAAGTATAAACTGTAGCTCAAAAATATTATATAATCAAATATTTTAAATTAATGTAAATATCGTAATACATTCATGTACTTACATGTGTGTTATATATAATTATATATATATATATGTATTTATATATATTAGATAAATTATTTACGGTAGTACCAATGTTTATTAAGAATATGAAATAATGTTCGATAGAAGATAAATTGCTGAATTAAAAAATCATGCTAATGAGTGGCTTCTCAGGTTTGCTGAAGCATAAAGTGTTTCATATAGTAATTAAATAAATCTAATTAATACTAACACAATTTACTTGACGATATAAGTTTAAATATTGATTCTGATTTCTTTTTCTTAATAGTAATTAAATAAGTTTAATTAACAAAACGTTTACACTTTTGAAATTAACTTAACATATTAAGTTTATATGTTGATTCTGCTTTTTCTTTTTCAATATTTAATTATTAATGATAAAGTATTTTATATTGTCCTAGAGTAGACCAAATGTTTCTTCTGTAACTTTTATTAACAAAGCCTAAATAAATTAAATAAAAATAAATTATTAACAGTTTATATTAGAGGTATTCAGATAACTCTGTAACTTGGTAATTGGTAAAGTGATAAAAAAAAATGTGTGTTACTTATTAAGCGTCTCAACGCATCAATTTTAATGCTTTGCCGGTAAATTTGTAGAAGTGTTAAATAAAAGTAAGAAAAAACACAACTTATGGTTCAACGAGTACTGTAAAATTTATTAAATTTTAGGCTATACTTTACTCTATACTTTCAAGTAAGTTTTCAAATATCTGAATATCCCAATTAAATTTTAATATTGACTAGGATTTTTCTACTTAAAAATTAAATTTTCTTGCTGTGTTATATTACATGTTTTAAAGTTGACACTTGGTGTAAGGAAAATACCTTTTCCTTTTGACAAAACATTTTGTTATTTTGTGGTTTTCGTGATTTCAATAGTAATAGCTTTTAAAAATACAACATAATTTATTCCTGAAAGTCTATTCTGAAAGTGGCTTATACTATGTTTAGACACACCTTAATCTTAATCTCAAAATCTTAATTCAATCTTAGTTTCAGCGAAACTAAGTTGTTTTTTCCATACAAAATTCAGTTTTGAGGTTAAAACGAAATTAAGGAAAATGGCCTTAAAAGGAAAGGAAGTCTATCGATGGAAGGAAGTCTGAAATTAAGGGACATTTCAAATGCAACTATGCGTAAGATAAATTTTTAGGAAAAGATAAAGTTAAGATAGCAAAAAAGTGACATTTTTTTTAAATAAATGTCAATGAAAGTTGACTTTAATATAAACGGAAAATAATTTGAACGTCGTGCAAATTTTCAATTTTGATGAATATAGAGAAAGAACTGTAACTGTTGTTAATTTGAAATAGAGTGAAAAATAATAATTCACATACCTGAAATCCACTAAAGTAAATAAAACTACTGAATACCATCCTTTATAGTTATAATAATCAACTTTCAAATTTTCCTAGATACAAATGGTGTTTAGAGCATGTAATTTTTAACATTCGATTTGTAAACAAAAAACATATGATTTCCTTAATTTGGGACAATGTAAACACTTTCAAAATTAACTTAATTAAGGAAATTTTGCTGTCTTTACATAGTATTACAATATTTATAATTGTTGAACCAAAGGATGAATTAGTATATTAAACTTAACAAAAAGAAATAAACAGAATGATTTTAATTATAAAAATTTTATTTTTTATCTTTTGTTTTGCACACTCTTTTATAAATCTTCTTCCATATAATCAGAAGCTCAAAATATAATAGTAATCAATTTACATCAGTAATTGAAGGAATTATTTTTTTGTTAACATTTCATTGACATCTTAAAAATCTCAATCATTCAATAAAATAGTCAATAAGCCAATTTCTTCTACATGTAACTAAACTAGAAAAGTTATTAATGCTTATATCGAAACACTGCCCTTACACCCGTTATTAAATCAAGCGTAACACATTTTTTAAATAAATATTGGTACTACTATAATAGAACTATAAGAATTTTAACTGCGTTTTCAACACAACAGGCAAACAACAAAATTGAAAACTTAAATGTAACGCACTATTACTTGTAAAAATAAAATATGTTATATATAAGGTTTTGTATTGCACATAAAATTTTAAAATGGTACAAACAATATTTTAATAAAATTTAATTAATAAATATAAAATTGCATTAAAAATATAATGTGCAAGTATTTAGCTGTTATAACTGTTAAAATTAAAATTAAGTAAACATTTCGTTCAATTAGTTTATTAATTAATTGTGTTATTAAATTTAATATTTATAACTATGATTTTTTTTTATAAGAACATATACTATTTAAAATATATTTAAATTTTAATTTAAATTATATTTTAATATTATTTTGAACAAAGAACAGAAAATGCTTAAATTAGTAAATAATTTTGCTTAAATTTATGTTAAATAAATATTTAGTATTATGTTTTTATTATTACTACTGACTAAAACTCATTGATGCCCAAACATTAAACTAATTATATAAAATAAGTAAAAAAAAGTATGTGGTTATGTTAATATTTTTTGCAATAATCTATGCAATTAAAGAGCATAAACAATATATTAAATTATACCTATGTATACATAGGACTTATAATATTTTTGACATATATAAAGATATTTATATATACATATATATAGTATACATATAAATTATTGAATAATTTAATTAAGATATATAAATTTTTTTTTGTATGTAAAGTAAGAGAAAGAGAATGGCGCTATATATACAAATATCACAATTATAAGAACAATGTTATATATTATAATTGACTAACACAAACACAATTTATTTATATTAACACAATATGTATTTGAACAATTTTATTTATTTTATCAAATATAAAAAAAATTTACATACACAGAAATATTGTATAGTTGAATTAATGTAAGCAATTAAATAATTTTAAAGAAATGATTACAAGTAAATTATTACATTACTTAAAAATCGTTCTGAATATAGATACATACATATATATGTATGCATACATAATATATATCATAATTAAACGAACATATATACAGAACACACAACAAACATTTTACACAATTTAAATTATATAAAAAAAATATATTTATGCCTAAGAATTATTTAAAAGTTTAATAGCAACTTCAGCAATAAAAATTTAAAAAAAAATTGAAATAACAGTTCTTTTGATTTTCCAAAATTACTAGGTATAACAAAATCATTGTTTTTCGAACCTATGAAATAGATATATAGAACGTATCTACTGATATCTATATATTCTATTAATTAAAAATAAGTTTGAGAACATAAAGAAATGATATAAATTAAAGACTGATAAGTCACATTAATTTATTAGCTAGAAATCTTGTTTTTATAACTAGTAATTCTGATTTAACAAGATCTTACCGCTCAGCCATAAATTAGAATTAAACAACTTTAAAAAGAGTTCTTAGTTCCTTCTTGGTCTACTTAAAAGTATAAATTGTATAAACCAACTAATACCCATCCTGATGGTCTAAACGCGGGTTATAAGGCTAAATAATTTTTTTTATACAGTTAACCTTTCTGTGGTTCCGAGAGTAAATCTAAATAAAACATTTATGATTGAGATTTAGATCAAATTTTTATTTCAATATATTGTTTTAACCCCTTCCATAAGGCTTGAAATATATTATTCATTTAAAAGTCCTCCACAGGACATCTTACAGTATTGGATCCTATTAATGTGATTTTTGATATGACTTGTTAGCACATAATGCTAGCTTATCTTGGCCATTACTTGATGAATGTTCATCAGCATGTTTCAAAGTACGATACTTACCGGACTCATGAAATAAAAGTCTAGACGTGATAAATCGCATGAACTTTGCAAAATATTTACATCACCAAAACGTGAAATTACACATCAGGCAGATCTCACGTGAAAAAATGTCACGTAATCGGTAACTGTTTAGTATGTTGCTATATCAATAGGCTAGAATAGTAATTGCTAAACGAGGTAGCTAATTTTGATGTCTAGAGACTGTAGTCGGAGACTTGTTGAGATCTTCATTGCGTCGAACGTGATTTTGTAAAAAAGACGTTGGTTATTCCTCGTCGATACCTGACCGGCCTTCACTGATGTTGATTTGGTAACCAAACATATCGATGTTTTCACAATACGACGAAAGGAATTGAATTATGTAGTGTATATGGAAGATTTTAATATATGGAAGACGTGAGATAATAGCCAGCTGAAATTTGCAGGTTTCAGTTTTAGTATATTTGCCAGCATAGACCATAATTGAACATCGTGTTGCTGTTTACGTATCCAACAATACTTCCTTATTCTTACTTTAATAACAGCCTGAGAGAGTTTTCACCATGCTATTATGAAACCTCACAGCTATCTCTATTTAACACGGATGCATGGATGAAGTATGAAAGCATTCTGTCGAGAACGACTTTCAAGATTTTATGTTTCGAAATTGTGGGAATCTTTAGTTTATCGTTTTGACTAGTAAAATATATTGAAAACGCCCTTTGTTTGTAAAGGTAATGATTCATTAGTGATACATTTTACTTTGTAATTAGCCATTGTAGAGTAAGCACACCGATGTTGTCAATACTATCAACTTTGTTTTCCTTTGAAAGACTTGGATAATGTTACAAATAATACGGCAGTTCTTTTGACGTCATAGTCTTAGATGGTAAATACTCTCTTCAATTGTAAGTGATTATCTCTGATAGAAAGTTATTGTTGTTGTGGTTGTAGCTCGGGGAGATCAATTAAGCAGATAACATGAAAGGAATATCACATACGAATACATGGGTTACCAGAGGGAATAGGTCTATGAACGAAGCCATTTGTCGACTACGATGATGAAGTGCTGCTAACCATTACTAAAAGTGAGTGATAGAGGATATTTGGAAATATTGATGTATTATTTTTTTTTTATAGTTCTAAGAGTATATATCACTTTTTATTCTAACGATAGAGATTTATTCTTATTGGGTTCAAGATAGAAACTTCTTATAACTTATTTTGCAAAAAATTGAGGCAGCGTTTGTCAAATTATATACTTAACTTCACTTCTTACTTCAATTTAAAATAAATAACTTTCACTTTTTATCACTTTCATATATTTATTGCTTATGTGGTGAAATCTATAAATACAAAACTAAATCAAAAATGATTTAATACTCAATTTAGTAAAAATAATAATTTACTGTGATATTAAAACTAGAATCGACAGAATGAAAATGTGGAAAAATATGGCCATTGATGCTGCTGAATTAGATTTATCGGACTCAACTGTCAACCTTGGTAATGGCGGTATGGCTCTATAAACGAGTCGATTGTTAAGGGGCTGTATGGGGCGGAAATTGTGTGTCAATGGTTTTCCCTGATGTGTGTGGAGGCTGCGGAAACGTTCAATCTAAAAATATAAAAAGGGGGAAAACATAAAGGTGAAAGTAAATTAATGTTATGAACTGTTGCTTTATGTGGATTTATGTGTGGATGCATATGATTAATTAGTTTTTTGTTTGACTTATTCTTGTATTTTTCATTTTGATTTGTGTAAAAATTGCTGACCTGTTTAGTGGAAATCATAATTGGCGTCGCAAAATCAATCCACGTGACATCCTCACTGCAGGGTGGCGTTGTTAGGGAGCCAAGATATGTGTAATAATTTTCAACATCATCGGTGATTAACTGCTGCATTTTGGGTGGATGTCGAAAGGGAACATGTGTGTCAGGAGTACGTACTTCATTTAATAGTTCAGTAAATTCAGCATAATTTGGATTGTCGTTCTCTTGTAACTAAGGAATGTGTGAAATTGAAGTTGAAATTATGGTTTTAAATTAAATTTCAAGTCATTAAAGGGATTATATAATTAAATAGACTTAAAACTGTATACCAACTTAAAGCAATATATTTAAAACAAAGTTACTTAATTAGTTCTTCAAATATTATTGAAACTGTTCGAAGCTTGGAGCATTTTCATGTTTAGGTATGCGTTTATTCGACCGCAGTGAGTTGCTTAAAATTTTCGAATATAATATAATGTTCGAAAATTTGTTGTTATACGTCCACATATAAAACAAAATGAAAATAAAATAAAACAAAGTTAATGTCTTGTACGAGCAGCCCGAACATTTTCGAACAGCTATAAAGATATTCGAACATTTAAATTATTCGATCTTAATGTTCGAATTCAAGTATGTTGCAGTTTAAGAAGAACAAAAAATTGTTATATTGTAACCCGATCATCTTCGAGCAGCTCTAAACATATTCGAACATACAAAGTATTCGATTTTAATATTCAAATTCGAGTATGCTATAGTTTTACAAGAACAAAAAATTGTGATATTGTTTGATTCCCAATAGTACCCGAAGTCGAGTTAACTATTAACTAAAAAGAAGCGCTCCTGAAGTAACGTTATCCTCAATAACTTTGAAGTACTATATATATTTCAATATATACAACTTACCGCATAGAAGAATGCTAAGACAACGACACCATCATCATTGACTACAGCTTCATTGAAAGTTTCATATTTGACATTATAGAAGACCATATGAAGTTCGGCAGGGAAAGAAACATTATTTATTCTATCTTCACTTCCGACTGTATTATTTTCACCCCAATGAAAATGAAATTGTGAGAATTGAAATAGTCCCTGATTGCGTAGTGGACCACCACTTATAGTTGGCGGCATATTGTGGTATAAAAGTTTTACGACCACTGTATGGCCATTATTGACCAACTCTGCACTTGCAGGGATGACATCAAAATCATGAAATTCAAGTGGCCAAAAAGTGCTGTTCACTACATCTACGATATTAATGTTTATGGGACTTTGGTGTTTACCACTACAGGTGTTATATGTATCTCCCCAATGATCAGGACCTGTAAAAAATTAGCAAATAATATAATAAATAATGAGAGTATTCATATGTATGAGAAGTATCAAGTTCGGTAAGTAGTAAAAGTGCAACCGGTTAATCTTATAATGAAAAAAGGTGGCACATTAAAGTGCAATTCAAATCCAATAAAAGACTAATATGATAATATTACTATATATCACTCGAGATGTGTTTTGCTGTCGCCGCTTTGTACTGTTATTACGTTACTCGGTTACTTGTAATAATAAAAGTGTAACTTACCCATGCGTCCATTGTAAGTAAATTCTTGAGAGTTAATTTTTTCGAGATCTGCAAAGAAACAAACAAACACAATGAAGTAATAATAAATACCAGTAATGTCGATTTATTTATATATTCATTTTTGCCACTACTATACATAATTGAGTGAATATAAAATAATAACTTCACGATTTCCTAAATCGATCAGTATTAACCAAATATTTACAGTCTGCATTATGTGTTTTTATCATGCCGTACTGGTTCAGCTGACACATATTGTGTGAATTACACCTATTTTTGCAAGTTTTTGATTAAATTATTTATTATCGCAGACACGGTAACTTGTTTAATAATTAACAGATACACTTGCCTCCAAAGAATTCATTGACTATTTTATTAAGAAAGTTGTATTTGCTTAAAGATTATATATTTTATTGTTTGCTATTTTTGGACTTCGGCTGAACAGAAATAAACCCCGATATTTTTAAATTTAATTATTAATTCTGTCACGTGTTAAAAAAAAAAACTAATTTCTTTATTCAATTCAATTAAACCCTCGACAATATGTATGTACCAGTTTTTTAAAAGAGACATACTAATCAAATAATATATTTATAAAAAAATTATTAAATTTGTTAACAATATTTATTATTGTGCCAATGCAACTTTTAATTTTAACTTAATTATATTAAATTAAATAACATAGAAAATATTTTACAGTTTAGTATATACAATTATAAGATAGATGTGAAATTTTTTATGATCACTATGTGAAAACCCAAATAAATAATATTAAAAATTTAAATATTTTCTATTAGCTTTAATATAAAGTTTTAAATGAAACAAATTTTGATTATTTTATAATTTAAAGTCGACTTTTATAAATTTAGAAAATTCTCTTAAGATACATGAGAAAGTGAGATACCTTCTGTTCAAAAAGTACTCGGATTTTGTAAATAAAACACACAAATTTAAATTTTATTTTATTTTAACTCCTTCAAAATATGCTCCTTCTGAAGCGATACACATATGCCAACGCTTAACCCAATCTTCCATACATTCTTCGTAGGCCCGTGAAGGTATGGCTTTTCGTTCCTTCAGCGAATTATCTTTTACCGATTCAATCGACTCAAAACGCTTACCATGAAGGGGCGATTTGAGTTTCGGGAACAGGAAAAAGTCGCACGGATCCAGAATTGGCGAATATGGTGCCTGCGCGAAGACAGTGGTGGCGTGTTTGGTCAAAAAATTGCGTACAACAAGAATTTCTCATAGTAAAAATCGCTAAATGCACTTGAGGTAGTCTCACATTAACAGCTGCTGTAAACAAACTAATTGAGTGATGGCGCTCAAATTTGTACCATATGTCAAGAAAGGGTGTACCAACATAACGAAAAAAAAATTTTTGAAAAAGGTATATTACATAAGGAGTAGTTAACAAGCAACAAAATCCGAATACTTTTTGAGCAGAATTATATAATATTAACAGAATAATATTAATATCCTGTTAATATATTAACAGGAGTTCTATCGAAATTAGGCTTCGATAATTAGATTAATTGCAAAACCGTAATCTACAACGCGAATGGTCTGTATAGTTGTGAGATATGTACTATATTAACTTAACATATTGAAAGGAAGAATATTAAATAGCATTTATCGTTCAGTCTTTGCGAAGGAATATTATGACCAAATACAATGGAATAATGACAAAAAAAAGTGAATCTCTTTCCTATTTATCTAGATTAAATATATCCTATTTATCTAGATTTAAAAAGAAATCTAAATAAATATGAAAACATTAAAGAAATTTTCAAGTCACAGCGTTTTCTGACTTCATGATATTATAAAAAATATTGAAGTCGAGGATGATTTGAATAGGAAAAGCGAATGATCAGGGGAACGGTAGATTCAGAGGTAGAAAATGATTTAAGAACTATGAGATTGTATACCTACTTTCGATTAGCTACTAATTGTGTATGTGTTAAATAAGAATAGTTTAAGAAAGAAAGGCTCACAAAGAGATATAATGGAATTATTCCGATTTTACGGGTGCACCAATTTGAAAACGGATTTTATTAAAGTTGGCTATTTTGAGCAAAGCCATATGTTGACATTGTTTTAGATATATCAGACTCTACAGTTTTAAATTTAAATATTGATTGAACAACTGTAAGTATTTCACATATATGTATATTAACTCTTTAAAAGCAAAGATTTATAAGAAAATGAACAAACTATTACTGTAATTATTAAAAAAATATATGTTGAAAAAATTAAACACTACTAATTGTTAGCTGAATCTTTTTCGTTTTAGTAAAGTAATGTATTATTAAAGTTTAAGCCAAAAACAGCACTAATAAAAGTAAAATCAACAGTATTAAAAGTGTATAAAACACTGATCAAGAGTCAATACTATATTATTTTTATGCTTAAAAAAATAATAGGATAGTAGATATCGGGAAAATAGTATAAAACTTCTACTTCAACATGTGATATAATATCAATGAAAGTTGTATCATAAATTGTTTTATGATACCATGTATATACGAGTACTAAATTATTTTAAGTGCTTAAACAAATTTATATTCTATAATTTTTTTTTGAATTCTTCTTAAATTATTTGAAATATTGCATGTTAACATTTTGATAAACAGATTTTACAACAAACTATCATTCATTATAGTCATGTTGTCGTGTTGTCATGTCGGTCGACTGATCTGTGATTATCGCTTGCTTGAAAAAATTACAGTAATTAAAGTTTCAACAACACTGAATTCCACTGTGGTTCTGCTCTGGGCACAGGCACGGATTGTCTTGGAAGCATTGAAAATTATTTTTCAGTGGTTGAGGTGTTGCAACAGCTCAAAAGCAATTACTCGTATTTAACATATTTGCTACTGTTTATTATAATTAAAATAAATTACAGTAATTATATGTAGATTAATACTTGTAAATCGTTTGATAATACGATTTAGTAATAATTTAGGTTCAACAATTACATACTACACTTCATCTCGTTGCGCCATCCGATCTTCAATTCGGTTATGTTACATTTTTCATAAAACAAGCTTTTTTAAACTGTGTGTACATGTTTATTTTTAATGAAGAAATGCATCCGTCATACATAAAATAAAGTAGAAATTTCGAAAATCATTGCAGCCCTTCATTAAAGTAATAATTCTAAGGGCGCTATGAACGTATGTATTATATATCATTTCACTCAGCCTATTTGCAGGAGTTAACATAGCTTACTTCTGGTGCTTCTTCCACCTCGGATATTATTTCGTGAAAAACTAAAGAAGAAAATTACAAAAGTGGATTCCATAAATTGAAGAAACGTTGGAAACGTTAGCCCATTAAAGTGATAGATAATATTGAAATATTAGTTCAGTCAACAACTAAGTATGCGTTATTTTATTTTCGTATCGTAAATTTATTAAGCAAATCAGTACACGAAATTTTATTTGAAGTAGGAATAGGAAGAAATGGAGTAACAGCTCCCAACGGAGCAGAGCACTGCGACCATGGTTGATCTTTTATGCTGCAACAGACCCTAACCGAACAGAAGACATTCCGCCTTTCGAATAGAGCCAGAATGTCGGTCGCTGAGGAGCTACTAATGTCAGAAGGGGAGAGTAGTTCTCGACGCAGTGACCTCCTCTTGGTCAAAGCTGAGCAGTCACAGAGAATGTAACTGGAAGTCTCATCTGCTTTCAAGCAGAGTCGACAATCTATCTCTTCGGATAGACACATTTTGTTAAGATGATAACGCAGTCTCAACTTTGTTTTGCTGAAGAAGGATACCTTACCATAATTGTAGGGATGAACCAGCTCTTTAGTCTGACGGTTACCTGGTATGTTACGCCAGTAGCGACTTCTCTCGGCTCAAAATCATTTATCAATCAGAGACCTAGTAATAGACCAACTTAATCTACAATATGGCTCCGGTCCACAGATTTGAATGGCAGATCCTGAGCTCGCAAGACTGTCGGCAGACTCATTACTATTGATTACTATATAACATATGAAGTATATTCTGTATAAATTATTTCTATATCGGTAAGGAAGTGGATTCATTACCATTGATTCCTGTGTGATATTTAAAGTATATTCTGTACAAAGTATTTCTATATCGATAAGGGAGTAGGTTAGAAATATTAGAATTCTAACATCTACAGATCATTATCGATTATAAATATATTCCATATTAACTTTATTATTTGAGTAATACAGGTTACACTTTAAGACTGGCCAACCCGGATATACGTTTGAGGCGCTACCAAAATCGCGTACATATATTTTCATAAAGGTTTATTGTAAGCATCACATCTACATAATTATATATATCTCCTTGCAATCATATTAAGCTATCTGTGGTTAAACGTAATGTATTAGTAATTATCATTATAAGTTAAATATATAATTTGATTAATTTTCAAAAAAATTTTAATGTTCATTTTTACACCTCTTTAACATTCTGTCCGTGTAAAAATATACAATTATCACTTATGCACCAAAATTCACAATAAAATTAAATAAAATAATTTAACTTTAATTTTATTATAAGCAATTATCGTGTTTCTAATCTAACCGATTTGCACGTAATTTCATATCAATTACATTTGATAGGCTTTCTCACCAGGTGATTCACTTTAAACCAATTATTTTATTTGATTTATGTTAATGATCATTATTGAAGAAAATAATTAACTTTTATTTGTGTAAATGACATATAGTCAAGCATTAAAATAAATCGCATTTGTCATAGATATTTCAGTTTATTTACGAGTATGCGGAAGTTTTGAAGTAGCTGCTTCATATAATATTGTTGTTTATCTAACATACGATTGTTATCACCTGTCATAAATCAATTACATAGTACAATATAATTGTTATTTATTACATTATATAAACAGGTGTGAATTACTTCACATGCATCGTATTTATGCAAATAGAATAATAATTTGTTAATATGAGATTATTAAATGTTTTCTATCAAAAATCCTCATAAAATGTTTCTTTCAATTCTTTCAACTTTTCATATTTATTTATTTTACTAACAGTTT